TGCATTCAGCCGTTTCACCCGAAGTTTCGCCAGATTTTTCAGCAGCAGCTTCTGAGCTAGGTGCCTGCTTATCAGCAGCAGCAGCAGCATTCGACTTATCATTACTTTTCAGCTTGCTAAATCGTCTCGAAAGCAACGACTCCGTTCGACGAGCATCCTCCTCTCCTTCGCCCTGCTCATTACCCTGCTCCATGTCGTCCAGCGATCTTAGAATCGCCTCCCTCATGACGTGCTCCTCGCTGAGGAAGTGCTTCGCCGAGGTGCCAATCGGCACGAAGACGTCGTACACCAGGCCGTACTGCTGCGCCAGCGTGTCCAGTGCCTCCAACTGCAGCTCCACATTCCGGCGGGACATCAGCCGGACGAAAACCTCGAAGTTCTCCGCCGCCCACAGCTCCTCGAAGAGGACGCTCTTCAGCTTGCTCGCGAGGACGCCCTCGGCCATCTCGCAGGCGCTGGCGAACTGCGCCTCGCTGATGCCCAGCTCGGTCATGTGCGAGGTGATCAGCTGATCGACTAGGGCGCGGTACTGCTTGAAGACCGATTCGTATTCAGGGCGGTGTTCGACGTTGCCCTCGTTGTCCTCGATGTCGTCCGGTTCGAAGACTGTAAAAGATGTTGATGATTTTTGGTAGCATAACTCTGGTAGAATGATTCTAACAGAAAAAGATCACTTACCAACAGACATCTGATCGACGAAGTTGTTCAGCGACGAGGACCAGAGTGGACTCTTGAGGAAACCGACCAACGAATCGAGCACCCAGGACTGGTCCTCGTCTTCATTTTCCCCCTCACCCTCATCATCATCCTCCACCGACTCGATGATGTCCTCTTCATTGGGCATTGCTGCTGCTGAAGCTTTCAGGCAAAAATAGCTAAGATGAATTAATTCCGCTTAATTCTAATCGGTGCAGCGTAGCGTAGCGAAGGCCTACTGCTGCTGTTTTTTCCTCTGCGGTGGTTTGTTTCCAATCGACCACTTCTTTTCTGTTCGGTGCACTGCCGATGTTGCCCAGGACAACTGACTGCAACAGAGAACCGCAACAACACGGGGCTGAAATTAAACAGACAAACAGAATTGTGCTTGTGTGTGTTCTTGTGTGGGCTTGTTTGTGCGTGTGCCTGTTCAACGTTGTGGCCTCACTTTTTGGCCGACTACTGCAAAACATGACGAAATAATGTCAATTAGACGGTGGTGTATACCATTCAGGCAGTTGATTGATTACTTTGATTGGGAGTCGAGAAGGAGAGATTGGGGAAAAACAAGAGCGGTTTGACAAAATGACCAAAATTCTTCCTCTTTTCTTGTCACAGTTAATTCATCAAAAAAAAGGAATTCCGCTGACTTGACACCATTGAAATAATAACAGAATAATAAAGTGCGGGGGCCCTCTTTAATAAATTAAGTGGTCTACACTTCGACTACCACTAATTCAGTGGCATAAAATACAGCGGGAAAAAAAGTTAATTGATAAAAAGAGCTTGATGCAGTGGAAAAACTGAAGAATCACAGAGCAGAAAAGAAGATGGACATCTCATGGACAGAAAAAGACCTTGCTGAGGACCGGTTCGTAGAAGGCGTTCCCTGCCGGCGGCCAGCAGCCCCAGCAGCAGCAGCAGCAGCACCTCAAACAGNGATGGACATCTCATGGACAGAAAAAGACCTTACTGAGGACCGGTTCGTAGAAGGCGTTCTCTGCCGGCGGCCAGCAGCCCCAGCAGCAGCAGCAGCAGCAGCACCTCAAACAGCTGATCAAGAGCTGAAAGAAGGAGGAGGGCTGAATTTCGAACTTGGCCTTGGAGCTTTGTTTACATCTTCTTCTGACGGCGTTTCCATTTTCATCCAGTTCCTCCCCCACCTCTTCTTCCTCCTCATCTTCTCGGTCCTCCACCAGCCTGATCACCTCCAACTTCTGGGTGCACTCCCGCACAAAGACCCTCCTCGCCCGGGCGCTGGCAAACCGCACCACTGTCACCGGGTAGAGCGGCCCATTCTGGAGGAGGACCACCGCGTAGAGCAGGTGCAGGTAGAGCAGTCGGCGGTTCTTGGAGCACAGCTCCAGGTGGCTCACCTCGCGCCACCAGTACCGGCGAACCTCCTTCAGCTGGCGGTTCCGCGGGCTGATGTTGCTGAAGCTCAGCTGACACTCGTCCGCCTGGAGCGTACAGCGGGCGCCGTTCAGCGTCACCGGATAGGGCCGAGTAGTGGCAAGGAAGGCGCTCGGGTCCCACTCGGCGGAGACGGTGATCAGCGAGGGTGGTGGCATTTTGGAATTCTGATGGTGATGAGGAGGTGAAAATCAAAGTTGAAATGTTGATGGAAAAAACAACAAAAACAACAATAGCAAGAACAAGAAATCTTATCAACACACACACACAGTCAAGTTTATTATGTCTGCCGTCCGTCAGTTACTGATATCCCCTCCCTGGTCTGGAGAGGTGCAACAAAAAAATGGCCACTAAAAAATAGTGCCAAGGGGCTGCGCTACTTGTTGTTGAGGTTCAGCTTCTCAATCAGGTAGAGGCGGAGAATCTTCAGCAGATTGTTGATCGTCGGGTGGTGCAGATTGGCGGCATTGTCGCCCGCCTTGTGCCAGAATTGAGGGAAGGGCGTGGCAATCAGGTGCAGCACCGGAACGTCTCGCTCCAGAAAGGGCGCATGGTCGTCGTCGACGGCGCCCCAGTAGTTGCGGCAAACCTTCGGAAAGTAGCTGGTTCCGGTTCGCTTCTTTGTCTCCAGCAGCT